TAGATATAGATATAGATATAGATATAGATAGATATAGATATAGATATAGATATAGATATAGATATAGATATAGATATAGATATAGATATAGATATAGATATAGATATAGATATAGATATAGATATAGACAATATATGATATATTATATAATATAATAAGCACTTATATGTGTGTATACAAATGTATGTATCTGTGTGTGAGGGTGGGTGACAGTGTATATGTATGTGTATGTAGGTGTGTATGTGTGTGTGTGCATGTGTATGTATGTATCCATACTTGAATCTTTTTTCTCTTGAATATCCAGAACTTGAGCCTTGAATGGCTTAACCTTCTAGAAGCCAGACTTCCCTTTATGCCAGTCAAACTCAAACAGAAATTGATCCCTGATGCCAGCCTATTGATTTATGAAAAAACCAATTAACATTAACTATGTTGCATTGTGGCCACTAGGTGGCACAGTGGATAGATAGCTGGCCCTGGAGTCAGAAAGATCCGAATTCAAAACTAGCCTCACACACTTATTGTGTAAGTAAGGCTGTGTGACCCTGGGCAAGTCACTTAACCCTGTTTACCTCAGTTTCCTCATTTGTAAAATGAGCTGGAGAAGGAAATGGCAAACCACTCTAGTATCACTGCCAAGAAAACCCAAATGGGGTCACGATGACTCATTCACAACTGAACAACTAAACAATAACAAATAATGTATTTTTGTTTATTTTGTTAAACATTTCCCTACTATGTTTTAACCTTGTTCACTTGCCCATTTTGAATTTGACCCCTCTGTTTTATACCATGATGAGGCATGGGTGTAAGACTTTGGTAGACTTTAGTTGATGCACAACTTTAGTTTTATGTAAGTTATTAAAAATTTACTTAAATCATGTACATAACAACCTGTCAGGACTTAAGGTAAAATGGATAAAAGGACTGCTTAATTTCATTATGTTTTCTGCTACCCAAAAATGAGTAGTCCTTACTTTTGTTTTTGCAAATCAATCAGGGTTAAGTGATTTGCCCAGGGTCACACACCCAATAACTGTCAAGAGTCTGAGGCCAGATTTGAACTCAGACCCTCCTGATTCCAGGGCCGGTGCTCCATCCATTTTGCTACCAAGGTGCCCCTAGTCCCTACTTTTATGCTAATATTTAGATGTTCTTAAACTTTCTTTCACTGGCATATATGCTCTGCATCTTCAGTTAAGCCATACACTGCTTGAGGACAGAAAATTTGCTCTCTATTCATTTTGGATGCCCCTTCAATGCCTAGTACAGTGTTCTACAAGGTGATCCATGCAGAAAGTCTTGAGATCCTAAGATGAAGAGCTGAAAATTTCCCTAGAGGTCATTTAATCTAACCCTCTCATTTTACATATAGGGAAATTGAGGTCTGAGCAATGAAACAATTTTCCTAAGATCATACAAATAACAAAGAGCAGATCCTAGATTCTCAGTGTACTTTCTACCCCATCATAAAATATGAGCTCTCTTTCCAGAGCCTTTATTTACTGACTTGCTGTGTGGCCTTCCACATTTGCGTTTTCTGTTACAAATTTCCTTCCTCTGCATAATGGCAAGGATCTCTTCACTTATTTCCACATGTTGAAATTCCCAAACTGATTTTGATCATATTCTCAAAACTTTTAGGGGGGGGGGATGACCAACTATGATCAAAAAGAAAAAAGAAACTATTTTGTTTAGTTGTTTTTAGGGGGACAAAACTCAATATATAACAATTTAGAGCAAAAGGGGTTGTTAGAAATTGACCCCAGTCTCTTCACTTCCCAGATGAGGAAACTGATGCCCAAACACGTTATCTAATTTGCCAAAAGTCACAAAGCTAGTAAGCGGAAGAAGTGAGACTAAAACTAAGTATCCTGATGTGCTGTCCAGCGTTCTTTCCAGCTCATTGGGCTTCTGAAAGTATTCAGTTCTATAATAAATCATTTGAAAACATTCTTTAACCATTGTTCTGTGCCTTCTATACTAGGCTAGATAAGAACAAATCACTAGCTCACTTTTAGACAGCATGTACTGATGCTGTGATGACCTATTTCCTCCTGTTAAGACCAATAGCAGATTGTGGATCACTGATTTCAACTTAGAAGGAAACTCACAGGCCATTGAATCCAACCCACTCATTTTACAAATGAGGAAACTGAGGTTGAGATAGGTTAAGTTAGCAGCCCAGGTCAATAAGTTTCTGAGGCAGGATTCAATCCCAGGTCTTCCTGATTGCGAGTCCAGAGCTCTGTTTCCTCATTGGTATGGCTTTGCTCACTGTTGTTTTTTTTTAATCTTTCTTTTCATCTGCTCTTCTCTCTGGCCTCAGAGCAGGTGACAATTAACACTTAGAACACATAGACAAACCTCTTGTGACTCCCCCCACTCCTCCTGAGAGCTCAACAGCTCATTCCACAAAATTTAATTTCCTCTATCGGTCGTCTTCTCAACTCATTACCCCCATCTGCTGAATACACCCACTCACACTCTTTGCTATACTTAAGCAAACCTAAAGATTTCATTCTGGCCCACTTTCAAATCATTGTACATGCTATTCTTTCCACTAGAACACCCTCCTATTCTTCTCCAACAAGTCATCCCCAGCTCAGATTGGTCTGTGCAAAACTCACCCCCCCCAACAAAGCCTTTCCAGACTCGTCCCAAGAGGATTCAGGCAGGCTTGTCATCTCAATAACAATTCAAATTGGTCATCATTCCCACAATTGCCCAATACTTTTGCATTGGTAGTATACATCTCTGTGTACTCAAAGCTGACCGTGAAAATATCGTATGTGTTTATATGTGTGCTGGGTCTGTCACTCTTATGGTAGCTTCATACATCACAGGTCATAAATGGTAAGGTCAAGTATAAGCCCTTCATTTTATAGAACAGGAAATTCAGGCCAAAGGAAATTAAGTGACTTGCCCAAGTCACACAGGTAGTAAACTTCAGAAGCATGATTTGAACCCAGCTCCACAACCCTAAAGCTAATGTGTGTGACTCAAGGTCACCTCAAGCTCTTTCTTCAGATCCTAGTTAGTCTTATTTTAGACATAATTCTAATATCCTGGACAAGAGAGAGAGGATAGAGGATCTGGTTTCTCTGTCCACAGAAGATGAGAAATAAATCAGAAAAGGGGAGAGAGCTACAGGTAGAAATTGTGACAGCAATTAAAAGTAACAGCTTAAAACCTGACACTAAGGAGTAAGACGGAAAAATTATGCAACATCACTCAAAAGCATAGTATCCAAAAGCCATTTAGAGTATAAAGGGCAAAACCCCTCTAGGGGCTTCTCCAACCCTGGTTAAATAGACCTTGTTGAGATCACTGTAATACAAGACAGGATAAGAACAGGTTAACTCATTACAACATTAGGCATGGTATTAATAATGATGATCTTAGATTATCATGAGAAGGTTAAATTATCTTCAGGTTGATTCCCCAGCTCTCTGGGATTCACTGAATTCTCAAAGCTTTTCTTCTTTCAGGTCTCCCAGCTTTCTCCACAGAAAGTGTTTGGGAACCAACTTGGAAACGCCCATTGTCCTTTATTGTCTGAACCAACGCAATTTGGACAATGAGCTTTTTGAGAGTAGAATGTACATTCTGTGAAGGAAAAGACTGCCTCACTTTTATCTTGTATCCTCAGTACCTAGCACACTGTCTCATACATAGTAGGCACTTAACTGATAATTGCTGATTGATTGATTGTTATATAAAGTCATAATTTAACATATAAAATGTTTCCATATTGCATAACTAGAAGATTTCTGATTCTGATGCTTAAACATTTTCCTCTTGTACCTAATAGAAATGTGTAAGCTATCCATTTATTGATGTTAAATGAATTTGATTATGGCAATTTAGTGTTATAATTGAATTGTTTTCCAGAATTTTATTTCAATTGTGTAGTTTCTGTTAAAACAATTGAAAATAGCACGTAGGTAATATGCCAACAAAGTTCTTGTGACCACATCTCTGGTTCTACTGTTGGCAAATGTCCTATAAATCTGATTTATTTCTAAGCTTATCTACCATCAGTGCACTGAAAACCTAGCCAGAAACAAAATTTCACATGGGTTGCACAAGTTCTTCTCCATGTTTTATATGAAAGTTCCAAGTCTGGCCCATCCTAACTTCCTGAAACCAGGTAGTAAACATTGCTACATCTCTACATTTCCTTCCTGAGTGTTTGTAATGGCAAAAAAAACAAAAAAAAATTAAAAAATTAAAAACCCTATAACAGAGTGTATATGCAACAGTGCGTGTGTAAAATAATTACAGTGATCTCCATATTTCTACCCAATCATATTACAAGTAGGAGCACAAAATATATTTTATATTTGTATTTATATTTTGTGTTTATATATTCAGCACAGTATCTGGAATATAACAGGTGCTGGAATATTTGTTTGTTGATTTACTGATTGAAAATGCATTTCCTCCAATGGGATCTGACTACCTATAATCCACAGATTGGGGGGGAAAAAAAACGTTATTGTTTCCCCATCCTAAATCTTACTTATGTTCTTGCCTCCCTCTTCTAACCTTTCATTACCCATTATCTCCTTGGCCCAACTCCACAATAAGGTTGGTGGTAAGGTAAAATTCATAGACAAATCTAAAAAATGTAAGTTCTTGGGAAACAGGGACTATTCTATATTTTTATAAGTGCCTAGCACAATGCTCCTCACATTGTAGGTGCTTAATAAAGTACTGTTGAGTGGATGGTTGATTAATTAATTGGTCCAAATCTGGAAAATACTGTGGAGATTAGTCTAACTCACTGATTTTTTTTCAGATATGAAAAATAACACCCATAAAGATTGTGTGCCCAAGTTCATAAAGTTATGAAAGCAAAAGTATTATGTAAATGTAGGTCATTATTTTAAGCACATTCAGCTGGGCCAGAAACAATATTCAGAAGCCTACCTTTCTTTAAAAAAAAAAAAAAAGGATGAGAAGCAAAATTTTAGAACTTGTTTTAGGTAACTTACCAGAATCCTGAGTATTATTTCTTGCTGTTGGCTGCAGGAGCTGGTATACTACTTTTATTTCAGTTGGTGGTAGAAATGATGGCTTAAGGCTAATTTTCACCATTTTCTCCCCTGTGTGTTTATTGGCTCTCCAAATGGCACTTGTATTCCATTCGGAATAATACATATCTTCAACAAAGAGAGACATTCCAAAATAAGGGTACCTACAGAAGAACAGAAGAAAGGGGAAAGAGGAAGACCAGATGATTATTCCCTTCCATGGCTTCATTAATGTCTGTTTCACTTCAAAATGGATTGGATTTTAATTACTAATGTTCCTGTTTATTATTTTGAATTTCCTCCATGCAGGCACACTTATAAGTTACACTTACGAAATATATTAAGGTTTTTAAAATGCTTTCCTGACAATAACCTTGTGACATAGGCAATATATGTATCTGTTGTTGTCCAGTCATGTTCAACTCTTTGTGACCCCATTTGGGGTTTTCTTGGCAAAGATACTGGAGTGGTTTGCCATTTCCTTCTCTAGCTCATTTTACAGATGAGGAAACTGAGGCAATCAGGATTAAGTGACTTGCCCAGGGTCACCCAGCTAGTGGCTGAGGCCAGATTTGAACTCAGGAAGATGTCTTCCTGACTCTGGGCTTTACACTCTGCCCACTGCGTCACCTAGCTGGCCCTAGGTTATACATTACACTGATGTGTATAGTTGTAGAGGCTAAGATTGGCCAACTGCTACTGGAACATTTCTGGTCCCTTCTCTCTTCTGGAAGGTCGTGAAAGTAAATCTTTCCTCGGCCTTGCCCACCTCCTCCCTGGGGGCATGGTTTAGAGTGTGGTCTTTTCTTTCCTCTCTACCTTTCTCCTCTCTGGAGATTTATCAGCCTTAACTTTTAAGGACAATTAGCTCGCTTTTAGCCTAGAAGTAATATAATGGCAGCTAGATGAGGCAGCGGATAGGCCACTTGGCCCGGAGTCAGGAAGACCTGAGTTCAAATCTGACCTCAGACACCAGCTAGGTGACCCTGGGCAAGTCACTTCACCCTGTTTGCCTCAGTTTCTCATCTGTAAAATGAGCTGGAGAAGGAAATGGCAAACCACTCCAGCATCATTGCTGAGAAGACCCCAAATGAGGTCACAAAGAATCAGACACAACTAAAACGACTGAACAGCAAGATAGTGTCCCTCAGGCACCCCCCATCCCTTTCTCTGGTATTTTATAGAGTTTACATCAGGTGACAATTGCTTAGAGCCCTCAGGAAAATTCCTAACATTCAAGCAGAATTTTGGCTTTCTGTCCTTATTAAAATTTTGTGTATTTTCCAAGAAATCTTGGCTTCCTCCATTCCCGTCTTCTCAGAACAGATTAATTATATAATACAAGCCTTCATATCTGACCCCAGGTTTCATTCTATAGGAAGCAAAGTTAGTATAAAGGAAATACTTAAAGGAAGGGAGAAGTGTCCTAGTTATTTGAGAGGCATGGGCAGGAGAGGTTGAGGAAAGAGAAAGCCTTTTAGAACTGTCCTCGGTACTTAAGGTTGTTGTGTTATGTCGTGGCTGTGTGGTTGTGGTGGCAGGGGGGGAGTTTTGGTCCTTCATTCTAGAATAGGACCATTATGTCAGGAAGATGATACCATGACTTGCAAGTGAATTGGATTTAAGTGAAGAAGGGCTGTGCAAAATCACCAGCCTCACTATCTCCTCCAGAGCCATCTGGGTCCAGTGGCCAGTTATAATTACCATCCCCAGCTCCCATCTAAATTCTTTGTTCCAAATTGCTGCAGGGACCCAGGAGTCTGCCTCAGTCTCTGCCTTCTCCTGTCCCAGCTCAGCCTTTCCTCTCTCTTTGACCATCCCTCCTGGGTTGTTGCTTCTCTGCATTTCAGCTCGCTGAGTGCTGGACAAGCCACAGGACACTGTATGCCCCACTGTCACTGCTCATGTTATGCTCATTCCTTCTTTTCAGCTTGTTCTGTCACAGGCTATATACTGTCTTTTTCAAAACTCCCAAGCATGATGCACATCCTCCTTCTGGCACAAAGATTATCCTAGTCCAGATTGCTCTCAGGGATGAGACAGAACATTTGCCCCCTCTGAACTAAAAATCCCAGAATGCCAAGCAATTCTCATACCTCTACTACATTCAGATGAAACAAGTGAGGCTGCTCAAGGTCAAAGTACTAGTGTATGCTTGAGCCACATCTGGAACCCAAGTCCTCTGATGGCAAGATCAAAGGTCTATATCTTACTTCACTCAGTACTCAGAGTCTGACCCAATCCAATGCTCAAAATCTGAAGTCCTAATTGTCTGCCACTCATCAAAAAGCTGTTTGAATGGGGAGGAATGGAAGAGCAAGAGAAAAGGGATATAGGTGAATTCCCAGATTTGTTACTTTAATCTCCTACCTCCTACCATAGCATATACATTTAAAAGACAGCTAGATAGCACAGTGGATAGAGCAAAGGACTTAGTAGTCAGGAAGGTGTGAGTTCAAATACTGCCTCAGATATTGACCTAGTAAAGTCTCTTAGTCTCAGTTTCCTCATCTGTAAAATAGGGACAATAATAGCACCTACTTCATAGGATCATTGGGAGGATTAAATGAGTTAATATTTGTAAAGCACTATATAAATTCTAGCTGCTTCTATTGTTTGCTCACAAAATATTGAAAATATTTTGCTAAAGCAAATGCCCATCATTTGGGAAATAGCTAAACCAGCTGGAATCCATGAATACGATAAACATAACTGTGCTGTAAGAAAAGATGAAATAGAGCACTGGCCCTGGAGTTAGGAGAATCTGAGTTCAAATCCAGCCTCAGACACTTGATGCTTATTAGCTGTGTGACCCTGGGCAAGTCATTTAACCCCATTGTCTAGCCCCCCCCCAAAAAAAGATAAATATGAAGACTACAGAGATACATGATAGAAAAATTTATGAATTACTACACTGTGGAATAAGCAGGACCAGGAAAACAGTAATTCATAATGAGTAAATGCAAACAATTTTAAAAGTCAAAACTCTGTGTAATTATAATTTTGTCTTCCTCCTGCAGAGCTAGGAGACTGATAACTGATGTGTTGATTAGTTCTGGCAGGCTATTTTTTCCTCTTCTTTTATTCTCTCTCATACAGAATGGTTTGGGAAACGAAAGTGAGATTAAAAACAAAAGATGTCAATAAAATTCCTTTTTTGTTGCATAAGGCAGATACAAGCTCAGTAATTCCAATACTTACCAAAGTGGCAAATGCAGAAGCAGCTAGTCTTTTTAATAGGCCCTACATAATATTCTATCCCCTTTAAACCAAATGTAAAACTTACCGTGTAAAATGATTCAACAGGTGAACGGAGCCCCCATCATAATTACATGAGCCAACATGAAGATCACTCTTTGCACTGCTGTACTGAATCCAAAAGATTCTCTGGTTAATGATGTCCAATGAGATCATTTTAATTGTTTGTGATGTCTGCATGAGAATCTTGACATCTGTCCCATTAAGATTGGCTCTGTTTATAGTGCCAGTAATATTATCTGCCACCCAAAACATAAAGCTGAATAGGAAACAAAAGAAAGAGAGTCATAACAATTTGGAGAGTTATCATGGCCAATTTCAGTGATTGCCAACCATTAGCCTGTGTCTATACGCAGAAGGTGCAACTGCTTTTGGCAAAAAATCAGCTAATAAGATGTGGGTTCAGCTAAAGTGGTTAAACCAGTCTATCTTCCCCACAAAGCTTTCTATATGTGCAATCTCTAACCTCTGAAGTGAATTGAAGTCCAATTCCCAACATTCCTTCCTCAGCACCTAACAGCTGCTCCTTAAACTCCTTACAATAAACTCCTTTTTTCTTACTTTTCTGAAAATAAACTCTTTCTTAGAATAGCATGTAACGTTGGAGCTTAAAGGGACATTAGGGTCCATTGGGATCCATCCCAAGCCCCTCATCCTACAGATCAAGTATGTTGACTGTTCTTCATTCTCAAAGAGGATCAAAATGGCGTCACTAAGTCAAGGTCAAGGTCTAGTCTGTCTGGCTGCGGTTGATCAGACCGATATGAACTTGGAAAGCTCTATCATAAGTTGGGCACAAATAGCCCATATGAGCATTTGGAGTGCCGATGTCTCTAAATTTGTGCATCTCACATTTCTTTTGAGCTACTGTAATTCTGCTTTGCTCATAGAGCCCGGAGAGATTAACCATGCAAGAGGAACCTCATCCTCTCCTCCTGAGGCACCAGGACCCCTCCAGTTACCCAGGACACAATCTCTAAGTCATCTTTGACTCTTCCTTCATCCTTATCCTATACATCCAACCAATCAACATATATTCTGCCTTCATTGCACCTCCCTCCTTCTCTGAACTCTTTCATCCTACTACCCATGTTCAGACAGACCCTCATTACTTCTCAGGCCTAGCAGATTATTCTTCCAGCATTGAATCTATTCTTTTCCAACAAATCCTCCATACTGACACCTGAATATTTAAACTATTGAACCACTATGATGTCACTTTTAAAAAACCTTCAATGGCATTCTATTTTTTATTGGATAAAATATAAATGTTTGATCTTAAGATTCAAAGCTATGTACCATCTGATTCTAACTTTGTCTATCACTTACTTTGTTTTATTTTTTAACACCTACTTTAGAGGCATGATACTTTAGAGGAGAGTGAACACAGTACTGTGGAAAGTATGTTAGATTCAGAACCAGAATACCGGTTTCAAATCCCAACTCTGCTATAGAAAGGAGTCTATATGACCTTGGGCGAGTCACTTAATTTCTTTAGGCCTCCGTTTCCTTGATAAGGGTATGGGGCAGTTAGGTGGGGCATCGGCCCTGAAGTCAGGAGGACCTGAGTTCAAATCTGTTCTCAAACCAAACACTTGACACTTACTAGCTGTGTGACCGTGGGCAAGTCACTAAAAATAAACAAAGCCCAAAAGTAAACAAAAGAAAAGAAAAGAAAAGAAAAGAAAAGAAAAGAAAAGAAAAGAAAAGAAAAGAAAAGAGAAGAGAAGAGAAGAGAAGAGAAGAAAAGAAAAGAAAAAAAGAAAAGAAAAGAAAAGAAAAGAAAAGAAAAGAAAAGAAAAGAAAAGAAAAGAAAAGAAAAGAAAAGAAAAGAAAAGAAAAGAAAAGAAAAGAAAAATGAGGGCATTGAATTATGTGGAACATGAGGCACTTTCCATCTAAAGCTATGACCTTATGATCCTGCCTTTCCAGGCTTGTATCTCTTACTACTACTCTCTTTCTTGTACTTAATGTACATTCTAACCAAAGAAAGTATTCTCCATTTCCCTGTTCTTGTCCTATTTTCTCTCTTCCTGTGCCTTTTCTCATGCTCTCCCCTATGCTTTGAATAGACTCCCCTTTCTCTCCTCCTCCACCTTTTAACATCTTTCTTTTTCTTCACCAGCAAACCAAGGTGCTATCTCTTCTGTGAAGTGAAAGTGATTCTCCCCTTTCAAACATTTACCATAATCCTTTGACTAGATGATCTCAGAATCACACTTATCTCATTCTCTCTAGTATCCCCATTTTGCTGTTTGTTTGTGTCTTTTTCCTTAGTACAGTTCTCGACAGCAAGGCCAATCATTTTAATGAATAATAATAATAATTTAAATTTCTGTTTCAATCTACATTTCTACTTTAAGGCTTACTAATGTAAAGGTGGAATTGAAACCACTCCACCCCATTTTATCTCTGACACCTTAATTAGGTGAAAATATCTCAATCAATCTATCAGAAGACCTTAGACTAAGTACAAAACGTTTTAGGAAGAAGAAATTTTTTTAGGTTTTAAAAAACCATTGGATAAAATGAAATGACACCAGACAGGAAGTCTGCCTAATGGGCTGGGAAACTTGATCAGCTATAAATTATCAAGTGAATTGAAAAAGGAAAGCTTTGTTAGAGGATGTGGCTTTTCATTCCTGAAAAGAAACCATTTAGGGTAGGGGGTAGGAGAAAAGCCTAGGCTTTAGCTTTGGCCAAGTCTCTTCACTGCACAACACTCCCTTCACCAGAGAAGAACCTTCCAGCTTTGAAGAGTCCAGAGTATATTAGACTTCTAATCTTCTCGTCGGTGTTCTAAATGGTGTTCCTAAATCAGCTTGTTGCGTGCTCTTTATCACCGGGAGCCGGGGACAGACTAGATTCACAGCTCTACAAGAAGCATAGGAAAGAAAGTGTACCATGCCTAAGGTACCCTACAAATGAAAAGAAAAGGACTTCCAGGAAGCAGATACTGTGAATTCTCCCTTGGGCAAATACATTCTAAGCTTCTGCCCACTTTCTCCCTGTCCTCTGTATGTTCTTATGGAAGACCAGGTCACAAATGTTTGGAAAGATGTATCATGCCAGCTGTTTTTATTTTTATTTTATTTATTTGTTTATCTGTTTGTTTATTTATTTTGTTTTTATTACCTTAGTAAATTTCACTTTCTAAAAGCTACCTAAGCCTGGATGATAAAATTATTTTCAACTGATCATCTTGGGAGGTTGGGCAGATTTACACTGTCGGAGAATCGAACTGATTTCATTCGAGTATCATCCCTGGTCTCATAGGGTACTCCTAGACCCTGAGGAAGAGATGTAACCAGTTGAACTCAGTCAGTCAACAAGCATTTATTAAGTGCCTACTATGTACCAGGCACTGTGTTAAGCGCTAGAGACATGAAGAAAGGGGGAAAAAAACTCTGCTTTGAGAACCTGTAACAATGGAAGTTAGTATAAGAATTACAGAAAGTAGTTCTCTCACAACCGTGAAGGTGGTATAGGATAGGCATTGTTATCCCGACTTTGTAGATGAGAAAACTGAGCCTGGGAGAGATGGAATGGCTTCCCACACAGCTAGTAACCATTAGAACTGGGATTCCAACCTAAGCCCTATCTATTACTGCATGCCTAGCACCCAGCCCAGAGCTTTGAAGACAGGGGGAATTTAATCAATCTTAGTTGAATGTAACTGAACTGGCCACTAGATTTGGAGTCAGAGCTGTTACATACAACCTTTGAGACCTTAGGGAAATCACCTTTTGGGACTTCAGTTTTCTTATTTGCAAAATGGAAGAATCAAACTGGGTAGCCTCTATACTGAAACCTTTCTGCTCCAGCTATTGAGGAAAAAGAGACTGAGTCTCCTGATTCTGTCGATTTAGTGATTGTTCCACTCCCCTAGGTGACCTTCCTTCAAGATAATTGTTATATCGGATTCTAGGATCAATCAATCAATCATCAGCATTTATTTGGTGCCTGACATGTGCCAAGGCCTGAAGATACAAGTACAAAAAAATGAAACTATCCCTACTCTCAAATAACTCACAGTCTAATAAGGGATTTAAATATATTTAGAAGTATAGTTAGAATAAATACAAATAAATACATTGTAGTTAAATATAGAATAGTTAGGGGGAGAACTAGCAATGAGTAGATCAGTAATCTTCATGTAGAAGGTAGTATTTGACCTGCAGCTTGAAGGAAGAGGTGAATTCCATGAAGCAGAAGGAAAGAATTACAGATATAGTGCATGGCTAGTGCAAAGGCTGGGAGGTGGGAGATAGTGTGTTCTGTCTGAAGAATACAGAGAAGGCCAGTTTGCTTGGACCATAGGATGCCAGAAAGGTAGTCATGTATGAGGCTGAAAAGATAGATTGGGGAGAGATTGGGAAGTGTTTTAAAAGCCAAAATGAGATCACATTGTATTCTATAAGGTGCCACCGGAGTGGATTGAGTAGGTGAGTGACTTGTTCAGATCTTAACTTAGGGGAAACCACTTTGATGGTTAAGTGGAAGATAGATTATAATGAGGAGGGACTGGAAGCAGGATGGCCAATGACAATAGTCTGACCTGATGCGGTGACTTAATGAGTGGAGAGATTAGATTATATGGGAGACATGTTGTAGAGCTAGAAAAGGCTAGCTTTGACAGTGATTGGATTTGTAGGGTGAGAGAGTTAGGGAGACTGGAAAAAAATGAGTGCCTTCAATAATAGTCCATGGAACAAGATGCCCCCCACACTGGGCATCCCTGGTCTCCCCACACTTTCCTGCATCCTTTTGTGTGTCTCCCCCTCCCCCATTAGATTGCAAGCTCCTTGAGGGCAGGGGCTATCTTTTTATTAATTGTATCCCCAGCAGTAGGCACAGTGCCTGGCACAGAGGAGGCACTTAATAAATGTTTATTGGATTACTGGAGTTAAGGGGAAAAGATAATGAGTTCTATTTGGGACATGGTGTCTCTAGGATACCTGCTTTAAAATGTTCAATAAGCATTTGGTAATGTAGAATTGAAGCTCAAAAGGGAGAGGGCGGCTGGCTGGGACTGGAGTGGATCTGTGAGTCATCTGCACAGAGATGATAATTAACCATACGGCATTAGAAGGGTACCTTGGAGAATTTTTATTCCAATTCCCTCATTTTACAATTGAGGAAACTGAGGCCAGGAAAAGCTGTAGCTTGGTAATAATAGCTATCATTTATATAGTGCTTTAAGGTTTGCAAAGCACCTTACAAATATCATCAGCCTTTGTTCACATAACAATCCTGGGAGGTAGGTGCTATTATTATTTTGGGGGGAGTGGGGCAATCTGGGTTAAGTGACTTGCCCAGGGTCACACAGCTAGTAAGTGTCAAGTGTGTGAGGCCAGATTTAAACTCAAGTCCTCCTAATCTCCAGGGCCAGTGCTTTATCTACTGTGCCAGCTACCTGCCCCTTAGTTGTACCTTCTTTAAGAAAAGTCAGTGAATTAAGTAAAAACCTTACTATCCACTACATCACCTGGGAGGTGCTTTTATTAACCCCCATTTTACAGATGAGGAAAACTGAGTCTAAGTGAGGCTAAATGACTTGCTAAGTGTCATTCAGCTAGAAAGTGTCTGAGACAAGGTTCAAACTCAAGTGTTCCTGACTCCAGGTCCAACGCTCTATCCTCTGAGCCACCTAATTGCGTCTTCAGATGACTTGTCTTGGATTACCCAATCAGTGTCAGAGCCAGGATTTAAACCTAGGTCTTCTGATTCTAGAACCAATAAATACTCTTCACCATGTTGTGTTATAAACTGAGTCCTTTCTTATGAAAATGTGTAACCACTACACAAGTAAATTCAATAGAGACAGCTAGGTGGTACATAGGATAGAGCACCAGTCCTGGAGTCAGGAGGACTTGAGTTCAAATCTGGATCCTGAAACTTGATACTTACTAGTTCTATGACCCTAGACAAGTCACTTAACCCCAATTGCCTCACCAAAAAAAAACCCAAGTAAGTTCAATAGCACCTATTTTTCAATCACATCATTGAGAAGCCACCTTAACAATTTTCCAGCAAACTAATGCAACTCTCCCTAAATCATTCTAATTAAAAGTGAATGATGCCAGTGAACTTTCCCTCACATTTTAAAGACTTCTATCATATCAGAAAATAGCAGTAGTTTTACCTTTTTACTGGATCAAGAACAACATTTTTAGGATAATTTAATTCCTTCAAGAGGACATGAGAATTGTTTCCTTTCATGTCTGTAGTTTCAATTGTTCCTTTCAGTTGATTGGACCAAACAATTTCTTCATGAAGCCAATCAATTGCCATTCCTGAAACCCCTTTCTCCACATGGCCCAGAATCTGTGAAATTAAAAACTTTAAGTTGTTAACCTTTGCTGATGACCAATAAGATACTTCTTTTAAAATATCTGTCATTTTAAGCATCTGTCACCATTAACTATTTTATTCTTTAACTTCCTGTTATAATTAAACTACTCTGAATAAAATTAACAAGCCATAAGTTGCTATTATTATTTTTGTCATTTCAAAATGACAATCCCAAGTGAATCTCCAAAATGATACTTCTGAATTTACATGTACCTATCTCTTGGCCCAATATTTACTAACATAGCTCTGAAATATAAAGGTTCTCAAAATATGCACACCGTTAGAATTGGGTATTGAATGGGTCTTTAGCAATACTTTCAAAGGTCTTAAAAGTGAAATCTACACCCTCTGATAACAAAGCATTTTAGGACAGTGCCTGACACAGGGTAAGCACTTGATGAATCCTCTCCTCTCCTCTCCCCCTCACCTTTCCCCTCTCCCTCTGCTTCTCCCTCTCTTTTTCTCCCTCTCTCTCTCCCAAGGTGCTACTCTAGCTATTGGGGTCCTCTTCTCCCCCTTGCTGACAAATGGCACTGAGCTCAGGCCACATCAGTAAGGGGGAGATATTGAGGGGGTATATTAAAGATAGATTAGCTAATTGAAAGAGTACTAAGAGGAATAAGCTCTGGATAGAAATGATGGGCAATTATCTGATGTAATTTATGTTAGGAACAAGCTCTCAAGCATTTGTCTACGGATTTCTCATGGTACTCTCTAGATGTTATTCCTAGAGAACGAAGGGGTTATTTTAAGGATTCCCTGATTAAAATGAAATACTCTAAATTTTTTGTGTGTTCTTTGGATAAATTGCCTTTAACTACTCATTCATTCATGTTACTTGTCTTTTTTTCCACAAAAATATAAATATCCTTAGAGTATTTTATATTAAAAGCTTGTCCTTCTAAATGTGAGGTAGGAAGAAGGCACCTACTATATGACAGGCATTATGCTAAGCACCTTAACAAATATTATTTCGTTTAATTTTCACGACAATCCTTCGAGGTCGGTGCTATTTTTAATTCCCATTTTACAGCTGAGGAAACTGAAGCAAACAGCTAGTAAGTGTCTGAAGTTGGATTTGAATTCAAATATCCCTGATTCTAAGCCCAGTGCTATATCTGCTGCATCACCTAGCTGCCTACATGCAACTGTTTTCTAAGGGTGAGAATAAATATTAATATAAATGAGCAATCTGTCTTAAATAGAAAGTATGGTAAAATACGGATTTGTAGTTTGCAAAATTGCATCCACATGGTCATGGTCTCCTCAGGGTCATAGATTTCTAATATTTTATAGATTTGTACATCATCATTAGCTTGTAGAGAAACACATTGCAGCACACAAAATATGTATATAGACTGGTAAACATTTAGACTCCCTGGGATAAGAATTAATTTTCATTCCTCTCCATACAATTTTACAGGAGTTTGGATGTAATCTGATAATATTTACTGGCACTTCCATTACCCTAAAATGCATTCAATCAATTTCCTGTCTAAAAGGTTGGCCACCCAGGGATGGGTTTTGTTGGCCAACCCATAGACTACTGCATTCATTGGTTTTGACCTGTATCATTGGTCACATTGATGAAATCATAGATCTTTTGAATAGCAGAGAAGTATTTACATAAAAAAGTGTTCTATTGTGTTCATTCTCATTCAGTGTGTCATGGAGTGTTTTGCAATAGGGATTGTCCACCCCAATATTCCAAAAGGGACAAAGTTGTAGAAAATTTTATAAGCTCTGCACCCTTTCTTCCAACTATTTTCCAAACTACAATGTAATCATCTTTAGAAAAACAGAGTAGTGGGCTTGAAACCAAAAGACTGAGGTCCAGATTCTGGCTCTGCCGCTCCCTAGCTGCGTGAGGGTGTTTAACTTCTCAGACCTTAAGTGTCTTCTTCAAGAAAAATAAACTGCTCTCTAAGGAAGACAGGAAAACAGATGCTCCCTAAGAGAGTTCTCTTTTAGCTTCTAGAATTCCTATCGCCAAAAAATTATCGCCTTTTGGCTAGCCTGGTCACGAACCTTGCCAAACTTAGCTAAACTTGTGCTCAAACAGTGGACCGGCAATTCATAGCACTAGGCCCATATTCAAAGTCTTTCCAGCTTTGTAGGACATGACCAGTGCTTGACATACCCACTTCACAGGATGGATGCAAGGAAAGTGTTCTACACACTGTAAAGCACTATGGGAATATGAGGACTCATCACAAGTTCTTATTCCAAAGATGATCCCTGAATTTGCACAGTATCAAGATAACCAAGTCACAAAATCTCATTTTGGTAAAGAATCAGGTAAATATTTGTTCATCTGAATTAACTGGTCATTTTACCAAACTGATCGGTTAGTTCAGACAAAATGGTTCCTCCCATGATCCCAAACAGCACAGACTGACACAAATGGACCATGTACACAAGAAAAAACTGGGCTGGACCTCCCCAAATTAGGATGAATGTTACTCTAGCACTGACACAACATTGGCCGCTTCTGCTAAGCATCCTAGAACCTGAAGCTCTATTGACTTCATGTCCCAGCCCCAGATCCCACAAATGCCAAGATGGCGGGTACTTTACCTCTTTCTTTGTGCCATTCAGGAATACTTTTTGCAGAAGTCCTCTTTCTAAGTCCACCCAATAGACTTTCTTCTTTCTATAATGAAAATCCATCAATATCGACGTGCCAGCGTTAGCCACCATTCGTTCATGATTAGTTCCCTCCATGTCAATCCTAAAGATAGCATTTCCATGGCTGAAAATTAAAAAGGGTGCAGGACCTGAGGGGAGAGGAAGAAATCAAACCATGCATTCACAGCATTTTTTAAAGATTATTCAATTAAATTATTTGAAAATTAAACCAAATAGTGGTAGAATTATTTATTTGCAATCCATCATTCTAATCACCAAAATTCTAATCATCTTCATGTTTCCATCAGGGAAATAGATACAAAATTGCAGTAGTTGGGTCATGATTTAAAAAAAACATACAGATAATCTTCATTAATTAATTATGTGAAATAAATGTGACCAAATTAATTTGGGTTAGTGAAGAAAATGAACCGCATAAAAAGTAGGATAGCTTCCCTATACAGATTGGTCTTTAATGTATGAGTACAAAATCTATTGTAATCTCTATGGCATGAAAAATTCATGTGTACATTAGTTTAAGGGCCGATGTTTTAATTATAAGATGTTAAATATGAAGTTACAGTTGTTAATGTTAATATATTTGAAACTTCCTCGTCCTCCCCACCCACTCTCTCCCTCACTTCATCTCCTGATTGGTAAGTCAGAGACACAGAATTAAAGGCAGAGAAGAGAAGAGAGAAAAGAGGATGGGAAACTCGAGGCTGAAGCCTGGGACTTCTCAGAAAGACCTGACAAAGCCCGGCCCTGGTTTAGCCCCATCTCCTCTGTCCTTCTGGAAACCTTCAATGCATCCCTTCTTCTCAGTGAAAGACATCTACTCATCTCTGCCAGTCTCATGGTTGACAAACTTCCACTGTGACTCTTGCCTTTCTGGTATTCCATTGTCAAAGAAAGAAAAGGTTAAGATCAATGGAATTTTTGTTGCTCAGATTCTAGGTAATTAGGTCTTCTTCCAGGTCTTCAGGGTACAAGAGCAGACCTTCAGAAATTCTCTACAGGAGGAAACTCTCCATTTGCCATTCTCACTGTAGGAGCCGCTGAATTCTCAAATCCCTACAATGAGGGCTTCCCTAGAGAGTACTCACTTCTCCAGCCTAAGATCTGCAGATTGGAAAAATAGGCTGACTTAGACCACAGGCTTCTTGAGGTCAGAGATAACATGTACTATGTTCTCCTAAGTGACTAAAATAATGTTATATACCTTCTATAATGTTATATACCTCCCCACTGGCACTTAATAAGTGGCAGTATAGCCTACTGGATAGAGAGCTGCCCTGGAAGGTAAGACCTTAGTTCTAGCTATGGAACCCTGGGAAAGGCAGTCAGTCAATCAACTAACATTTATTAAGCATCTGCTATGTGCTGGCCTCAGATCTGAAGTTCAAATCTCACCTCAGACACGTACTAGCTGTGTGACCCTGGGCAAGTCACTTAACCCCTATTTGCTTCATTTTCTCATCTATAAAATGAGCTGGAGAAGGAAATGGCAAACAATCCTAGTACCTTTGCCAAGAAAACGAATTATCTAATGAACTAATCGTCCATGAGGTCCCAGAGTCAGACACAACTGAATGACTAAACAACAACGATGTGCCTAGTTGTTGTTGCTGAGTTACATCTAACTCTTTGTGACCCCCATTCGGAGTTTTCTTGGCAAAGATACTTAAGTGGTTTGACATGTCCTTCTCCATCTCATTTTACAGATGAGGAAACTGAGGCAAATGAGGTTAAGTGAGTTAGTGAGGGTCATATAGATACTAAGAGTCTGAGGACAGATTTGAACTCAGGAACATGAATCTTTCTGACTTCAGATCTAACACTTTACCCACTGTGCCACCTAGCTGCCCCACACTGAGTCAAGCATTTTACAAGTATTACCTCATCCGATTCTCACAACAACCCTAGAAAGTGGGTGTTATTATTATTCCCATTTTACAATTGATGAAACTGAGGCAAATATAATGACTTGCCTAGGGACACACAGCTATTAAGTGTCAGAGGTCAGACTTAAACTCAGGTCTTCCTGAACCTACATCTAGCTCTAAGTGAAAAAAAAAAGATGAAAATAGTATTTAATAATATCTATAGTATTTGCCTCATGGGATTATTGTGAGGTTTAAATGGGATGATGTATGCAAAGAGCTTTGCAAACCTTAAAACACTTTATCCTAGGTATGGCACCTCACACCTAGTGGTGAGGTTGAGGCTGGTAGATGGCTGGAGTCTGGGTATTCTGGGTTGTAATAGGGTTGAAGCTGAAAGGATGTTCACATTAAATCTAGCACCAATATGATGAGAATGGGGAAGCTGTGGGCAACCATGAAGGGGTCATGAAGGCTCGTGAAGGGGCCAAGTGGCTCAAGCTGGAAACAGAGGAGGTCAAAGCTTCCATGCTGATCAGCAGTGGGTTGGCCAATGAGTGACCATTTAATTTCCAGCCTGGGCAAGATAAGGACACCTAGTCTCAATAAAAACAAAAATAAAAATAAAAACACCATTCCTCACCCTATTCCTTGCCCTATTTGCTCAGCTCATGAGATAATGAATTACAGTATGGGAAAGAACTCTCAGGCTTGGTAGCTGCCTGAGTGTTCTGTGTAACATCTCCCTCCTCGCAGGTGGCACTCATGCTCAAAAGATGGTCATAGGGAGAAGTGTGGCAACCAGAAGACCAATAAAAACAATACTCCCAACAAAGAACAAGGTGATGAAATCACCAGAGGGCATGAGCAGCCTTGCAGCATTGGCGGTGTGTTGTTCCAGCTGCAGGTGTGTGCCCTGTTTGTGCCTCTTCACATTCCTTGGACACACCTTCCTTGTTTGTGTGCCCTTCATTCATGCTCCCAGCTTATGAGTGTTCCCTGTATGCATGCCCTCCTCCCGCTGGTGGTAGGATGCCTTATGGGGGAGGGGAGAGATTTTTTACTTGTCACTTCATTTGCTATACTGTTGGATTAAATGTCTTTTGCTTGAATTAATGTATCCTCTATCTACCTATTAAAATATATCACTGAGGGGGCAGCTAGGTAGCACAGTGGGTAGAGCACTGACCCTGAAGTCAGGAGGACCTGAGTTCAAATTCGGCCTCAGACCAAACACTTGACACTTACTAGCTGTGTGACCCTGAGCAAGTCACTTAACCCCTATTGCCTAAAATATATATACATATGTATATATATATATATATATATATATATATATATATATATATACATATGTATATATATATATATACATATGTATATATATGTGTGTGTGTGTGTGTATATATATATCACTGAGAGCTTCTGAGCTGTATCTTTTGAGTTGATGCCAATCCACAAAGTGCCTTGAACCTGGGATAAATTTTCTGGGGTCTCTTCACACAGGGGACAAAGTGTCAAAGTATATTCAAAATATAGTATATAGAGAGGAAATATAGAGGAAAGAAGAGAAGGAAGGAGGGAAGGAAATAAGGAGGGAAGGAAGGAAAGAAGGGGGGAAGAGAAGAAAGGAAGGAGGAAGGGAAGGAAGAGAAGGGGAGAGGGAAGGAGAGGAGGGAAGAAAGAAGGGAATAAGGCATGGAGAGGAGGGAAGGAAGAAAAAGGGGAAAAAGGAGGGTGAAAGACTTCAATGGAAGCTTATGAAAGTGCAACATTTGATGACATCAGCAAAAGAGTATTTTCCTTTCAAGCGAGAGATATAATGTAAAAAAGCCCAGTGGCTCTATGGAATACTTCCATATCACAAAGAGATAACAGGAGCCCTGGCGCCCTTGCCAGAGCATTTTCATTCCTTAAGACTGTGCTGACCTTGAATGATTTCTCTAGTTTTATAAAATGAAGCAGAAGTGATTCAGTTTTTCATTCTTATTCCCTTTTGGCAACGACTGTACTTTGAAATGCTCAGACCCGTATCTCGAAGAATCACAGTTAGGTCCTCAGTTCAGGTGTGTATGTGAGTGATGTAGGGTAGGAGTAACAGAAAGAAGGAGGAAGGGAGTGTGTGTGTGTGTGTGTGTGTGTGTGTGTGTGTGTGTGTGTGTGTTTGGAGGGAGAGAAGGGCAAGGCAAGAGGGAGGGGAAGGGAAAGACAGAGGGAGGGAGGGAAGGAGGGAGACACAGGAGAAAGGAGAAGGAGTGAGGGAAAAAAGAAACAGTAGGAAAGAGAGAGGAAACCAAGTGACACAGAAGAACATGTCCAGAATGGGAGCCAATAGATTTGAATTATATGCTAATTCCATAACACAGTCTCTGAATTAAGTTTAGAAAACTGTTTCAGTCAGTGAGTCTGTAAGTATGTGTTGGGGTTACAAATAGGTTAAGTTAGTCTCTGTCCTCAAGGAGTTTATATTCTACTAGGGGATACAATGTATTCACAGATAAGTTAATAAAGCAAACAAACAAAATAAATGCAAAGTAATTTTGGTGGGCAATTGGACAGTAAAAAGTGGGGGAATCAGGAAGAGTCTGTTGAAGGAGGTGGCACTTGGGTTGAACCGGGACAGCTAAGACTTCAAAAAGCAGAGGTGGTATTTCATGAGTATTTCATGCATGAAGACGGCCTCCAAAAAGCCTGGAGGCCAGAAACAGAATGTCAGGGACAGGGAAAAGCAAGTGGACCAGTTTGGCGAAAGAGTAGAATGCACAAGCAGGAGTATTAGGGAGTATTCCTCTGCCAAGGCAAACTCAAGCCAAACTTTGAAGAACTTTAAATGGCTTTTCCTGCTAGAAAATGAAAACAATAGTTTTCACCTCCATTCGGGGTAGTTGTAAACATTCATTTGATGTTTTAGTGCTCACAAAGGAAGGGATCCAGGCTCAACTACTACAAATGCAGAATTTATCTTTCAATAAATGATCCTGAATCAGTCCCCAAAATATGATGTCTGTGGAAGAGATTCTCCCATAGCCCAAATGACCCAGTGACACTTTAGGGAACTTTCTCTCTTCTTAAATTTATGGTCCTCACCAAGGAAGACATGTATATATGGGTCACCCCTGGCTTACTGAAACCAACCTCCCACTTGGAAGTTTGATGCACAAAGTATTACAAGCCTTATTACAAGGAGGAAAGCCTAATAAAGACACATAAATGAACAACCATTAATCCCAAAGATATATGAAAATCCACCAATGGGAGGGCTCCTC